AAGATCCTCCTCAAGCAAGAACTGCTTCACCTCCTCCGTTTAGGTGCCATAAAATCGGTACCAACAGAGTTCCATGGTCGAGGGTTTTACTCAACTTATTTTTTAACACAGAAAAAGAATGGAGGATGGAGGCCCATCTGGATTTAAGAAAGCTCAACAGATACGTCGCTTACCACTGATTCAAGATGATGACCGTAGCAACAATAATTCCAGCATTATATCAAGGAGATTGGCTTTTGGCTCTCAACCTTCAGGATGCATACTTCCACATAACAATTGATCCCGCCCGCAGGCGTTTTCTATGATTCACGGTTAACCACCACCATTACCAATACTGAGTGCTCCCTTTTGGCTTTTCAATGGCTCCCGGAGTGTTTTCCAGAACACTGGCTATCATAGTGGCCTGCCTACGTCATCAGGGAGTCATAATATTTCCATACTTAGACAACTGTCTCATAAAAGGCACGTCTTTCCAGGAGACAAAGGACATGACTGAGACTACCACGAACCTCCTCCTCCGCCGTGGCTTCCATATAAAGTACAAAAAGTCCACTCTCTCTACCCCGCTCAATCGCTAGAGGTTATAGGAGCACACATCGATACTGTCACAGCCAAAGCAACCCTTCCCATGCACAGATTCGACACCCTATGCAACCTCATAGCAGTAGCACGGGCGACCCCTACCACAACAGTTTGTGAATGCCTAAAAATTCTGGGACATATGGTTGTCACAACCTATGTCATCAGTCTGGGGTGGCTCCACATGAGATGCCTTCAGTCTTGGCTCGCCACACTTTACACGCCATCTAGAGACCTGCTCTTCAAGTCAGTAACTATTCTACCATGGGCCCTCAACTCCCTCCAGTGCTGGACAAGTCCACACAATGTATGTATTGGAGTTCCATTCGAGCAACCTACACCTACACTTACCATGATGACCGATGCATCACTTCTCGGATGGGGTGCTCATCTGGAAACCCTCATGGCCTAAGGTCCTTTACAGCACAAACACTCCATATCCACCTTTTACAACGGCAGTACATTACCATGCCAGCATTTCCTACGCCATATAGCTCGCAAGATTATCAACGTCTTATCAATGACGGATAATACCACTTGCATGTACTATATCAATCAGCAAGGTGCTGCATGATCCCCATCTTCATGTATGGAGGCTCTCAAGCTATGGAATTGGTGCCTGATGCACTAGATTACCCCTGTTGCCATCTACCTCCCAAGGGTGTTAAGTATTATAGTAGACATTGAGTCGCAACTTCTACGACCACCACGAGTGGGAGATGGACATTCAGGTCCTCTGTTACATGTTTCACCAATGGGGTCAGCCAGAACTGGACCTTTTCATGACCAGAAATAATCAGAAATGTCACCTTTACTGCTCCAGAGCAGCCTTAGGGAAGCACTCCCTGGAGAATGCTTTCTCTGTCAAATGGGATGCACCACTGCTCTATGCATTCCCACCCCTTTCCATACTTCATAAGGCCATCATCAAAATCAGAAAAGATTGAGCTCACATCATATGCATTGCATCAGTGTGGTCGAAGTAAACATGGTATCGTTACCTCCACAGAATGACCGTGATGGATCCATATGTTTTTCCGCCTCAACACAGTCTTCTCTCCCAGAATCATGGTGCAATTCTCCATCCCAAACCCCACAAGCTCCATCTCCACACCTGGCTCCTTCATGGCTCCAGGATGCTGAAAACACCTGCTCAGAAAGAGTAAAAGAAATATTAATCAACAGCAGAAGACAATCCACAAGGAAAACGTACCTCTACAAATGGAGTAGGTTCTCTCAGTGGCTAAAATGTACTCACACCATAACCCCTGAGACCACCCCTCTTCCCTTCCTACTGGACTACCTCTTGCACCTTAGAGAGTTGGGCCTGGCTCTAAGTAGTATCAAGGGTCATGAAGCTCCCATAGCAGCCTTCCATTGCACCACAGAACATGATTCTTTCCTTTCAAACCCAATCACCAAAAGATTCCTCACTGGTATAGGAAACACCTTTCCATCCGTTTGCCCACCAGTTCCAATCAGGGACATAAATCACATACTTAAGAGCTTGACAAAGCCGCCCTTTGAGCTTTTGGCGACCTGTTCCAGGTCATACCTATCTCTGCAGTTCTTCCTGGTTGCAATAATCTCCAGCAGGAGAGATGGGGAATTTGTTGCCCTAATGGCGGACTCCCCCCCCCGCCCCATACAATTTTCACCAGGGACAGTCACATTCTGGCCCCACCCTAAATTCCTCCTGAAAGTTTCCTCCCACTTCCACATCAATGAACCCATACACTTACCTGCCTTTTTCCCCAAGACATATACTGACCCATCGCACGCTGCTTGACACAGCCTCGACGTCCTCATAGCGCTTGCGTTCTACATTGATAGGACAAGAGTCTGGCAAATATCTCCTAGACTCTTCCTATCCTTTACAGAACGATCCAAGGGACAAGCTGCCTCTTCTCAGAAGATTTCCAAGTGGATCTCTTCATGCATCCACACATGCTACACCAGAGGTGTCCAAACTTTTTTCAAAGAGGGCCAGATTTGATGAAGTGAACATGCGTGAGGGCCGACCATTTTGCCTGACATTCTTTGAACCATTAAAATTAAATGCAAATGAACTATTTTATGCAAAGTTTATTGCAAACGGCATACTTTTCATTTCGTCACATGGATGACAAATCTAAACAGGTGTTAAATCACTCTGCCTTTCATATCTGAAGGCCAGATGAAAAAAAAAAATCCAGGAAGCTGAAATATATGTCAGGAACATTGTAAAGTACATTACATATTATTGGTAATAAAGGTTGTCTGTCAACTTTTAAGTTCAAAAAATATGAACAGGAACATAACACCAAGTATACATGTTGTGTCCAAATATATTTATAACTGATTTAGACCAACTGACATTAACTGAGATTTTACAATGTATTCATCTCAATACATATGGATTCGTTGGGGGCCATAAAAGATAGATATTGCCAAATTACCTGGGGGGCCGTATTAAACCGGAACACGGGCCGCAATTGGCCCGTGGGCCGGACTTTGGACATGCCTGTGCTACACCATTCACAATAAAGAGCCACCTGGCATTATCATGTCCCATTCCACCAGGGCTATGTCCTCTACTACTGCCTTCCTCAAGAATGTACCTCTCCAGGATGTTTACAATGCAGCCACGTGGTCATCAAACCACACAAAAATGCAACATTACACTCCAGCATCCTCCATCACATCCTTCATGGCTGTGGGACAAGCAGTATTTTCATAAGTGATAACCAGGGCTCGACAAATAGTGTAATCTACTCACCCGTGGCGAGTAGATTACACCCCAGAAGAGCCGGCATGAAGCAATCTGCGCATGCTCAGAGCGCAGAACCGCGTGGCTGGCAAGCGGGGCTCGCTGCCACTCGGCGAGCCTTGGTGATGACGACAGGGCTCCAAACCTGCCTCCATGAGCCGACTACTGCTTTATAGTCACCCAGAGTGGATCACCTACGGGGACACTACTTGAAGAAGAAAGAGTTACTCACCTTGTGCCGTAACGGTGGTTCTTCGAGATGTGTCTCTCTGTGGGTGCTCCACTACCATCCCTCCTTCCCTCCTTTGGAGCCCCATGCTCTACTAGCATGCGTAGAGAAGGAACAGAGGGGCAGTGTTGCGCATACGCCTAATGGACACTAACGGCACGAGGGGAGGGCCATGATTTGTGTGCTGCATGGTGGATACTGCTAGAAAAATCTCTGGTCACTGGCACCAGGATGCACCAGCACCCGCGAGGACACACATCTCTAAGAACCACCGTTTCTGAACAAGGTGAGTAACTCTTTTCATGTGTGGGATGAAGCTGAGGTGAAGAAACCATTAGGGTGAGGATTAGAGCAACCAGCCAACCAAACGGGAGAGAAAGTCTAATAAAAAATGTAGAAAGTTCTCAGGATGTCTGAAGGTCTCTCCTTTAGCTGTTTTGGCTTTTGCAGTTGCTCTTAGCAGCTCAAGTCTGTCTGGTTCCTCTATATGGATTTTTCCCTAAGGCTAAATTGTTCTTTGAGTTGGATCAATGGAGACTCTACCTGGATCCCAGTGCTCCCAATATTTGGGGTCTTCTCTGCACAGTTGTGTATCTAGAGGAAGAGGCTGCTAGGGAGAGTAGTGGTCTTGGCTGTGTCTCATTTTACCACCTCCCACCAGCAAAGTAGTCCCTGCTTTGTGGGGTTGAGGAGGGGGACAGTGTTTTAAGGGGTAAGTGTTTTTACATGTTAATGATAATTTAGATTGTCAGCTTTTTATTTTGTATATTTTATGTCTAGATAATGGTGATAGGTAAACAATATAAATAAAAAGATTGTTATATATTAAATATTCTCTAATAGAGGAAAATAAATGTTAGAGACTTTTCAAAAATATTTTGACTATTTTAAGATATATCAGTGGAAATTTTAATGTGCTAAAATACAACTTTTCCTGAACTGTTAGAATTCATATTAACACTAATTTGCCCTTCTTTCTGAATTATTTTAATGATTTCAGCAAATCCACTGAACTGTCTGTCAAAAGGTGGGTGATGGGCTGCTACTTCACCTCATAAATCATAATTTACAAGAGGTTTTATGCCCATTTTGGGGATAAACACTTTATGCTTTGTGTTTTCAGTAGCAATGTAAAATGTAACAGATACTTAAAGCAATATGTCTGAAATACAGGCATAGAAAACTAAGGGGAAAATCACAAATGTTTAGTTTCTCTGTGGGTTGGTCTACATAGTGAACATTTTTTCCATCTGATTTCATGTTCTTAGCACTTCAACAGAGGTGGTTGATGAATTAATCTATATGATTGCCTCCTATAGATTAATAAAAGGATGTTTCTTTAGTTACAGACACTCAGCAGATCAGTTAACTCAACAGGGTTATGTTGTCATATTTTCTTTGGTGCTAAGCATACTTTTTCTTTTTTGTGCAATTGTCTTCCAGATTCACGAGAAACTGCATTATTATGAAAAACAGAGCCCTGTACCCATACTCCATGATGCAGCAGCCTTGGCAGATGATGTAAGTGTCTCCTGCTGAGATCACTGGTACCAAGTCTCCCAAAAAGCTGTCTGCAAGCAGAACTCCTCATAGTGCAAACATATGAATGTAATCCTCTGAGCTGAAATCATAAGAAGCTGCAAATGTTTCCAAAGGTGCTGTCATCACTAGGCTTATTGCTGATATTGCTTTGATTTTTATTCACGTTCTTGTTGTAAAAACATTGCAAGATAGCCTCTGTTCTGCTTGGTAACTATGTAATAGAAATTTGAGGTTGGAACTCTACTGGGAGGGAAAAGCTGTCAACTATTAGTGTTTTGAGAAGGTCACAGACAAGAGGAATGCTTTGGAAAAATAAAGACAAATGAGAGAGTTGTCCTGTTGACAGGACAAGAAAAATGACAGATAATACTACAGAAATGAGGCATATGAAATACGTAAAAAGGAGGGGTTGTCCCAAAATACCTGTTTAAAAAGAGAACATTAGTGATTTATGGATATTAGAGCTTTCCAAATTACTTTCATAACTAAAAAATAAATTATAGAAGTGGTCAGCATTGATGGAGTAGTTAATTTCCTGGTACTATAATTTTTATTTTAAAGGAAAAAAAACCAACCTGCCATTTCTTTCTATTTAGTTAATTCAAGGATTTAGATGAATTTTGCACACACCTGTATAAACTGTTACTGAATCTGAGACAGGATGGAGAAATGTTTATTAAACTGTGGTTTAGGTGAAATCCATCAGTCTTTCTTATAATAGGTGATCTCATTTTTTTTTTCTTTTGGAAATGGCAATATGTTTTAGGATTAATTTCAAACATGGAGATTTGGAATCTTGATTTATTTCATAAATGTTCTTTGCTGAGTTTTTGTTTTTATATAATGCCCATATACTTTAAATAGTCATATGCTTATCTGGCATGAAACTATTGACATATTTAGGATTGCAATGCAATTTACAAAATCAAGACTATCACTGTTTGAAACATTCATAGAAAAACCCCATTTACAAGAATTTAATCATGTATCAGGAAGAGGATATCTATATCCTGTTATGGATGAAATATAATAAAATATTTACTGTGGTCTGACACTTATATTAACAGTGTTTTCTTTTAAGTAACTGCATTTAGACAAATAATTGTTTTGTAAACTAGAAAGATCATTAAAATGTACTCCAAAATTGTACTCATTTAGTATCTTTTCAGACAATTTAAACCAAGTTAGAGCGTGGGTCCCTTATCTTTTGAGTGCACAACTAAAACCACTTGAAATGAGTCTAATTTCAGAAATGCTGAGAAACTACTTTCTGAATATCAGGTCCTTTTAAGATGTCTTAACTTTTGGTACCAAGTAATGAGGTACTCCAAATCTCTGAGTTCTGAAAATTTAGGCCTTTCATCTTTACTCCACAAAATATGCAATGCACATGCAATTAGTTTTTTTCTATGAGAAGTGTATGCATTTGAAATGTGAATCTGTAGATTTCTGCATAATTTTAATTTTTAAGATTTGACTTTGGTTGATATTTGAGATTTCTCTAGTGCTTTTGTCATTCTTTCTGTGTAATTTGAACAGTTCACATTATGGACCCACTCCTGTAAGGTGTATATTTCTACTGAATTCAAGCTAAGCACTTCTCAGAACTTAGTTTGTATGTGTTAACATGTAATCGGTGCATTTTTATATGATTGTTAATTTGTACACAACGTATATTGTATAACTTTAAAACATAGAATTGCGGGATTAGAGATGCATTAAATTTTGAGCAGTCTTGCTGACAACTAGTAAGGCTTCAGGAGATGTCAGAGCATGTTAGCAATGTAAAAAGACACGGGAGGTGAGGCAATATTGTATTGAATCAACTTTTATTGGTGAGAGAGACAATCTTTCTAGCTACACAAAGCTTTTCAGATCTGGTAAATGTACTAAAAGTATCACAGCTAAATACAAGATTGAACAGATAATTTAGCATAAGTAGCTAGCACATATTCTAAGGGGTCATTCAAAATGAAGTGGCCTGTTTACATCTCTGTGATCATAGAAGAAAAAGAGGGGCTTATTGGGTTACAGATTCTTGTAATCTACTATGTATTAAGGATGTGAATGGGTAACCAGAAGCCGCTCCTGTGGGTGGAGGGCTGCTATTGTCCTGTGGGACTGCTGGCTCCCAGTCTGAGTGGGCTGGGAGTTAGCAGCCTCCCACAAGGGGTGAATGCTGCCAGTTCTTCCTCTTCTCCCTTCTTGTCCCCCCTCCCAGCTACTGTTTCTGCTCAGCGCATGGCTGCAGACTCCCAACCCACAAACTCACACGGGCTGGGCTCACTCCCTGCTGCTGCTTCCGGCTTCTACCCCCCCCACCCAGTGGGCTAGAATGCCCCCCTCCTACCTGCCCCCAATTGATCAGTTAACCAGTTAAACTTACCTCCATACTATATATATTTTTACATCTCTACTATATATTTGAGAGAGTTTGTGTCTATGGCTATGTCTAGACTGCAGGCTTCTTTCGAAAGAGGCTCTTTCGAAAGCATCTTTCGAAAGAGCCTCTTTCGAAAGATCGCGTCTAGACTGCAGGCGGATCTTTCGAAAGAGCAATCCGCTTTTTCGAAAGAGAGCACCCAGCGAGTCTGGATGCTCTCTTTTGAAGAAGCCCTATTTATATTGAAGAACGCCTTCTTTCGAAAGAGGAACTTTCGAAAGAAGGCGTTCTTCCTCGTGAAACGAGGTTTACCGCCATCGAAAGAAAAGCCGCGTTCTTTCGAAATAATTTCGAAAGAACGCGGCTTGAGTCTGGACGCAGGGGAAGTTTTTTCGGGAAAAGGCTACTTTTCCCAAAAAAAACCCTGAGTCTGGACACGGCCTGAGTGTGTGTCCATCTGTCTGTCTTTTCAAGAACCCCCTCCTAAACAGTAAGAGCTAGGACCACTAATTTGGTGTGCAGCTTTCTCTTATCACAGCTTAAAGCAAGGTAAGGGTTTGGTTTGCCAGGAAAATGGGATATCCGTGTAATAGGATTGGTTTACATAAAATGGAGAGGGGGTCTGTGCTATATAATGACCACATGGGGACAGTAGGGGATATGGGATAGAAAGTGGGAACAATTATATTGTATGATGATTACAAGAGGGCAGCAAGGAGCTAGAGGACAGGGATAGATATAGCACCATTGGAGCAGCTATCTATGATATATTGGACAGAGTTTGTATGTGTGTGTATGTGTCTGTGTGAGGACATGCACTCCACACTGCCAGCTGTGCCTGCTGCAGTGGCCATGGAGAGGCACTTCTTACCTGGCCTCAAGATGCTGTGCTAAGACGGCTGGAGTTGTCCTCTCTCCTTTGGGCATCCTGCATTGTGAGCCTCTTATTTCCAACCCCACCTCAAAGCAATGATTTAAATGAAGAAAAAACAAAAATTAACAGAGTTAAGGACCTGATCAAAGCAAGGTAAATCTTCTAGTAAGACATAAATGCAGGATCTTTATTAACAAAGTTATGAATTTAAACTTCGAAGCTCACCTTTTGAAAGTGTTGTTCAGATTTCCTTTGAGGATGAGGACAAATAAGTCAGATATAGATTGATTGTTTTGTGAAATATGTTCGCCCGTAGGTGTTTTCATATCACTCTGTATCTGACGTGCCCATCCTATCCTCAAAGGAAGCCTATAAAACACCTTCAAAATAAAAGCCTGGGTGCTTCAATCCATAACCTTACTACACACAAAAATAATGGCTTTAATAAAGACACTGCATTTATGGCTTATTAACCCATTAACCCCATTTTGTTGTTGTCTGACTAGAGTATTGTTAATGGGCCATTTCCCCTTGAATGGTCCCGTAGAACATGGGCTGTTTTTTCAATCTTGTATTTAGCTGTGACACTCCGAGTACCTTTCCCAAGTCTGAAGAAGAGCTTTATGTAGCTTGAAAACTTGTCTCATTCACTACCAGAAGATTGTTCAATAGAATACATTACCTCAGTTACCTTGTCCCTAGGACTGACATGGCTACGACAACAGTGCCTGTCTCACCTGCTTTTAAGAGATGTACGAGCTGCAGACTGTCCATCTCTGTATCAGTTGGACACTTACAATATGTCCGCTGTTTGAGTGAGGAGCACTCCATGGATCAATGTCATCACTGTAAAAAACTCACTTCCAGAACAAGAAAAGCTAGCGAACTCCAACTAAAAATGATACAGTTGGAGAAAACTGCTTGTCCTGCCTCAGATCCCGAACATACCACCCCACTCAGGTAGCCATCCCCTGGAGCAGCTTCGGAGAGAGGGGCTCCCACCAGGTCAAGCCCAAAGCACCATAAAATGGCTCAAGTGCCCAAGAAGAAGTTCTACTCTTTTTCAGGGACTGAGTTTCCCTCGAAAAAATGCTCGCTGCATAAAAAGCATGCCTCAGCACCCATAACATCCAAGGTGCTGGAAAAACAGGCATGCAACAGGGCTGACACTGACAAGAGCCAAGACACCAACGAGAAAGCTCATTCCTCCTCAAAAGTACCAACAGAGGTGGAGCAGAAGGCCTCTGTGTTGGCACCGGTCAAAACACTATCAGTACCAACTGTGGCACTGACCAGACCACACTCAGCTTCAGCACTGAGTGCCACCATGTTGCCTCTGACACCAACGTAAGCATCGGCCAAACACTCTGCACTGACCGTTCACACAAAATAGCTAGCACCGACTTAAGCCACGTGGCTGGCACCGCAAACTCTATTGGTACCCATACTGCTTCCTCCTGTGCCAGTACCACAGTTCACCATGACAGTGGAGCTTGTGGTTTCCTCGGGGCCGGGAATGCCCTTATTTGGCACTGATGGTACCCCGAACACATCCAGGTTCAGTCTCTCATCCGCCCCAGCCACCTCAGTGCCACCAATATCTAGTGCTGACGATGAGCTCGTTCAGACACACACCGATACCCTCCTCGTTTAAGTCCAACCAGCAGAAACAGCAATGGCAAGCACCACAGTGGCTCCCACCACCTATCCCACCCAGTTGGT